GAAGAGGCGAGTGCAGGCGGGTTGGAGTGGGTGGAGAAAGGTGTCAGGAGTGTTGTGTGACAGAAGAGTGTCAGCAAGAATCCAAGGAAAGGTGTACAAGACAGTAGTGAGACCAGCTATGCTGTATGGGTTAGAGACTGTAGCAGTGAGGAAAAGACAAGAGGCAGAGATGGAGGTAGCAGAGATGAGGATGTTGAGGTTCTCTTTAGGAATGACCAGGATGGACAGGATTAGGAATGAGCACATCAGAGGGACAGCTCAGGTCGGCTGTTTTGGGGACAAGGTCAGAGAGTCCAGATTGAGATGGTTTGGACATGTGCAGAGGAGGGATAGCAGTTATATTGGTAGAAGGATTTTGGAGATGGAGCTGCCAGGCAAGAGGTCAAGAGGAAGGCCAAAGAGGAGATATATGGATGTGCTAAAAGAGGACATGAAGTTAATTGGGGTGAGAGTAGAGGATGCTGTTAGGTGGAAACAAATGATTCACTGTGGCGACCCCAAAGGGAACAGCTGAAAGAAGAAGAAGAAGATTAAAACAGGAAAAGTGAGCTTGAGAGGGTGTGCCCTCATAACCCCTAAAACACTACACAATCTGTTGTCTGTTTATCTTCACAGTATATGGCAGGAACAGTTTATGGCTGGCTCCTTTAAGTCCGGGATGCCATTGGGTTGAACATACAGTATAACAACACACAGAGTACTAAAACAAAGGTATAACATGTCCTTCAGTTCACACAAGCAGTGTCTCACAGGTCCCTGCGATCTGTGGTCTGTTCTGAAAGTTTAAAATCCATTGAATAACATATGTTGGTTAATATATTGATTAAAACACAGTTTAAAACATACTTAATGTAATTTTCATGACAATAATTTATATGACCAGTTATGTTTGAATATCATGACACATCATCAGTAAGTGACAAATGTGTTTTAGCCAGCCAGCCAACGTTTCCTGCAGTGACATTAAATACATAAACTAAATACATTATTTGACAAGGTGGTCTTTAGAAATTTTTTTACAATCAAAAGTGGGCCTTAAGTTACAAAGGTTGGGAAGCCCTGCTGTAGTGGGTTCAAATAAACATTTTGAAATAGACAGAGCTAATGAGATTCTAGTACTATGTTGGGTTTGTTGGTGGAACATTTTGGATGAAAGGTGACCTGTTTTTTAGAAAAAACCTCATCCTTTTTCCTTTTTTCTTTTTTTTTTTTTTTTTTTTTAAGATCAATATGTCAGCTTCTTGGATTTAAAATCAACCTTTTATTTCTTCCAGTGTCAGGCACTGTAAGCTTTAGTTGCATTTCCTGCTTACACAGTCATATTTTGTGGGGAGGAAAAATCTTAAAACTGAACGTGTCACACAGCATTAAAAGCTTAGTTGAGGCCAATAAAGCCTTCTAACTCATTAGCAATGGCTTTTGGTTTAGTGTAATTGATCTTATTTTTTAAAGTGAGTGTACTGATGAATTTGTTGAAATCCTCAATGTGGCACAGTTAAATTTGGTGTTTCTCCTATGTTGTGTAGGGGAATTTGAAAGGCTTGCTGACCTACCGTGCCTTGCAGATCTGGTGTTTGTTGGAAATCCTCTGCAGGAGAAGCATTCAGCTGAGGGAAACTGGTTAGATGAAGCCCAAAAAAGGCTTCCTTATCTGGGGAAACTAGATGGTAAGAGGGTTTCATCAGTTTCTTGCTACTGTTGTCATCACTTAACACTTAACACTATAGGTATTTCTAAATAAATACAAACTAAACCAATAACTAACATACCCAAAGGATTCTAGGTTATGCTAAAAAAAACTGCAGTAACACTTTATGAGTCAGAAATTTCTGGATGATTCTCAATAAATTCCTATTCATTATTTCAAATTAATAGCCAACCTAACCTAGTCATTTTGTCAGTGCACAGACCAGCTGAACGTGAAAACTGTCTACAAGCTAACATAGAGTTGAGTAATATATAAAATAAGGTTTACCATAATAAGTAATGAAGGGATATTTACTTGTAAAATGGAGCAGTTTTTTCAAGAAGCTTTCCATTTTTGCTACAATTAGGAGCAAGCTGATAAATGGTAAATAGTTTTTTTCCAAATTACTTTGTACAAAAGGACAGTTCCTTGAAATGTTTTAGGAAACATT